TAACTATAAAATATCCCACGGCCCCTAATGTTCTCCCGTGAACATTCCTGATGATATTTTTATGATTACGTAATTCCGTGAAAATATCGCAATTTTTGAATGTTGCCAGGTTGATGGCGCATTACCAGCCACAATGATCTCTTTTATTTCATTATATACAGTGCATTTAGAAATTTTCTTTTTCAATGAATCCATCCATCATGTGTTTCATCAACTGTTCTGTACTTTGAATATTTTCTATATTTCTTTTGCGAATTGAAGACATAACAGAAATAATATAATTTTTAAAATCTTTAATTCGTTCATTATAAAAAGATATCATCAGGGTTAAAATTCAGATCGAAACTTACATGCACAAACGCAGTTGTGTCATAGGTTTTAATTGCACAAACCAACTACTAGTTGCACACGTGTGCATATAAATTTTATTTTTATATGCACTTTATTGGATCTCATTATAAAGGGGGGTTGACCATACTTAATGGGCAAGTAGAGTACAGTATACTACAATAATTTCGGAAGTATGTAAAGTCAACAAACCTTATAAAATTAAGTTTTAAAAGTGAACCGTCTTTAACATTAAGGAACATTGCTATTATTCTTTTTTTAAGATACGATTCAGCCTAGATTATGAAAAAATTTTTTTATTTAAAGAAATTTTTTTTATAATTATATAGTACATGTTTATTTGAGTTTTATTATCATGCTTTTAAAGCCAATATTCTTCTTATACGTTTAGAACTTTGACGTTCTAGTTTGTAAAAATTTTGAAAATTATAAATTATAACATTATAAAAGTAAAGAATACGTTGAATTCAAAACAATAATATTAGAAGCTAAAGATTATGGGAAAATGAAGAAAAACGTGCTTTTTTGAAAATAACAAGAACATGATTCGAGAGAAATAACGTTAAAAAATGGTATTTTTGTTCTATTAAAATTTATAATTTATTATTGTTATTATTTTTTAATTGGAAAAATTGTTTGGACTGATTAATGCGTCACTAACTTGGTACACATTCAAGAATTGCGAAAATATCAAATTTTAATCCACGGCCATAAGGATATAAAAGACTTTCACGGTGTATCATGAACACAATGGATTAGCATGGCGGAGCTGTGCTAATCCATCATATTCACAACAGCCCGTGAAATATCTATTACCAAAATTATGTCATAGTTTTATTTCAACTTTTTTTAAAGACTTAATATTCTAGTCAAAAATGCTACAAAAACATTTTTTCTAAGCCTATTGATTTAGTGCTCGGGTGTGATTACTTCAGAACTTTTTGCAAAACTTACTGACCATATCGGTAACAAACATTATGTTTTTGAGTTAGTTTGTATTGGAATTAACAGTCATGATTTCTATCATGATTTACTGTAAAAATTTTGTTATAAAACTTACTTGCTATTGCAGTATGTAGTTGAGTGATTTCTATTATTGTTTACTGTAAAATTTTTGTTACGAAACTTACTAGCTGTTGCGATGTCACGCAGTATATTTTTGAGTTAGTGCGTATTAAATTAACAGTTGTGATTTCTATTATGATTTACTATAAAAAATTATGCGCTGTACAAAACTTACTGACTATTGTGAGTTATTTTGTATTGGAATTAACAGTCATGATTTACTATAAAAATTTTTTAGTACAGTATGAAACTTTTACTTAATATCATGATATCCAATTCTACCATGATTTACCATAAAAAATTTGTCACAAAACTTATCGACACATAATATGTTGTTAATTAAACAATTGTTAATGAAATTGATTGTGATGACATTCTTGATCATAACTTGCTTATACCAGGAACAGAGTGATGCAAATCACGTAGGTTATATGAAGATCGAAATTGGCGTTAGTCCGCAAAATCTTGTAACTGATTGGTCCGCGTGATCTTAAATGTCGCATATTGTTTATTTATCACATAAATAGCATCACATGGACATATTGAATGCTTCCGAATAATAGTTCGAGTGCCTGATTTCTTTGTGTGTTAAAGCCTTATGTGTGTGAATATGATATAGATAGGAGTTTATACCATGTGCTATTGATTTCCGCCAAAAAGCTATTTTGTCTGTGAAATAATGCAATTTCCATTGAATTACTTATTTGGAAAGGCATTTAAGGGATAAATAGAAATTTGCATTAGTGTTAATTGGGTAAATCAATTAAATGGATCTCCTGACAATTATCACTAGTGCTCTAAAACGAATTTAGATATTCGTTAATTGCTTATCAATCTTGCTTTTACTTGCTTCGTAAAATCAATGTGTATTTCCTGATATGTAAATTATAATATTAGTCATACTAATATCACGATTATTGGTACAAAATTTAATATAAAACTCGTTCATTTCAGGTATTAGCTGTATTAGATCTTTTGGTTATTACACTTTTTATTTTAAACTTGGGATTGAGTCTACCTGATTGTAATAGATAATTGGGTGATTTGCAAATTGAACAAAACTGCCCTTTTTGTATTGTTTAAATTGTAATACTGTTATCTAACTAGATTAATGATTAAAAGAATTAGTTTATTTGCAAAAAAAAAAATGCTTACTGGTAAATAATCTGGTTTGACATTATTCTATTGTCTTACAATTGTTAATTCTACAATTTGTAAAGATATAATGTGATAGATTGTTTCTATCCTGTTCGATTTGCTTTGATAATAGTACGAATTAAGTATTTTTATTGTAGCATGAGAACAATTTCATTTGTTTAAACCCCTAATAACTATGCGAATTATGTTGAATTTATTAATAATATGAATTGAGTATTTTTATTTTGGCACAGGAACAATGCTCCGAATTTTTTATTTGTCTGACCTAATAGCATGGCTGGTAACTGCGTGAGGCCCATTAATAAATAATCTTGTTAGTCAAAAATCATATAATTTTATGATTAAGCATTTAGGTGTTTCGATTTCTTTTTTATATAAATAAGCTTTAGAGAAATTTTTTTTATTGCGATAAATTTGAAGCAAAAAAGATGCCTTCTCATATTTCCTTGCTTACTGTTATCATCACTGTAAAGAATAATAATTTCTCCTCATATGGCTTTGCTAAATATAAACTCTCTGAACAAACTTCTTATATTATTAGATTTAAACATTTCTTTTCTAATAATTCGCTTTCACAATATTTTACATCTGGTGACTTGGTGTTTATTTCCGGCAAATTTGCTGTTGAAAATTCAGAACAGTGCATGACTATTTCATATGCTAGTATTATAGATAATAATCTGAATCGTGAATTTGACCTTGCTGGGTACCTATATGCATTCCCCACTTTATGTTTTCTGTTATTGTCAACCGTAACCCGAAAACAACGGAAGATTTCATCCATTTTGGTGCCGAATGCACTGAGTATAACTCAGTCACAGAATCTTCAAATGTTAAGATAGATATAGCAATTCTTTATCTCGCCCAATCTATAAGATTTAAACATTTGGGTTCTTTAGGATCTAATATTAGAATCACAAATACCTATCTTGTATCTGGTCTTTTTAGGTTTTCTGATTCTGGCAAAATTATGATAGAAGCCACTGATATTGATTATTCAAAAATGCCCCTTCTGACTTTTAACACACCCGAAATTTCTTCCTCCTCTTCATCAAATACTCGCTCAATTTTTGATATTATAGCAAATGACATCGATTCTGCTGCCGACAACTTGTCTAAAAAACCTTCTTATATTAAGCATAACTCCGTTGCTACTTCTAGTTCATCTAAAATTTTACCTGCTTTAAACGTAGTTGATGTTAAGGCTAACTTGTCTCTTGAAAATAATAATTATATTAAATTAGATGCTGAAAATAAAAATAATGACAAAGAACATGATTCCGAGCGTGAACATAGCGAAAATGATAATTTGTTGTGTGAAAATGATCAAGAAGAAGACTACCAGCCTAAGAAGAGAAAAAGAGGTACAAGAATTATTAATAAGAATAAAGGGAAAAAAATGGCAAAGAGATGAATAAACTAATATAATTAGATTCTTTTTTACATTTTAATGTTCTGTTATTATATAATTATGTTAGCTTTTCATTCTATCAAGTTTTGTATCTGACTTAGTCTTGACTTTATAATATGCCTTCTTATTCTTTTTTAAAAAATTTTCGTTTATTATTTAGTCTATACAATAAATATATATATATATATATATGTTGTGCCCCAAATGAAAATCGGCCCAGTTGTCAATTGGGCTAGCCCAGAT